TTCACGGGATGAGGGCCGTTCACGACGTCCGCGGGCGGGGCACTGCCAAACAAACCAATCGCCTTGCCACGCCCTTGGACATGGAAATGTTACCGATCACGTGTCCCAATGAGAGTTCTGCGCGGCTGGCTGCTGTTCCCAACAGAACTGCGAACAAACATCGCGAATATGTTCCAGACGCGCACGCTTGCGGATGAAAGGTCGTCTTTGAGCGACTGTCCCCAACAGTGCACTGCGAAGACACATCGCGGCAGTAATACAGACGCGCCCTCCTGTGGACGAAAAAGTTGCCTCGGTTGGCTGTCTGCACGCACAGAATACCGATGCTCAGTAGCACGAAGATGCCCGAACTTCTGCTCGGTGAAGTGCAAGGCGGACGGCGCCGACAAGAACGCAGGAGAAAACCACCGTGCCGCACGAATTTCGGAATCCCTCAGATGCCGAACGCACGTCGATGGGGGGCCACGGGCCCGCCCCCCCCGCACGGGAAATATGTTCTCCAGGAACAGCTGGCCGTTGAGGATGAGGGCGGACCTCCGCTGCATCCGCTCTGGGCTCGTTGGTCTGCCCGCCAGCCTTAGATACGAGGGAGCTCTCCAACGCAGCCGCTTGCCACATGCAGCCTCATCTGAGGGCGCGTGGCGGGCATCCGCGCTGGCCCGGCAGCAACTTGCACACCATGGGAGTGAACGAAAGCACAGCGCTGCGCTCGGGTCCGCCACCTCCAACGCGAGGGCCTTTTCTGCGCCTGGCGCTACTCGGAGAGCAGCGAACCTGCGCATGGGCACTGCTTGGCATGCAGGGCCACGTTCCGGATGAGCTGCTGCGTCCCCTCCACCGTGAGGCCAGCCACCTTTGCCGGCAGCACGGGCCTCGCGAGGGCCTCTCGGCGAGAGACCTCTGCATTGACACCGAGGGCGCCGATGAGGGCAAGCTGCGGCTCCCGTGCCCGCTGAAGCTCGCCTCGAACCCCGCTGACTTCTGCAATGGGCCGTCGAACTGAATGGTCGGCAGAGGTGCGCGCCCCGGCCTTGCCCCTCAGCACGCCAGGCGCCGCCGAGGAGTCTCCCGCAGCCACCATGCTCGCATCACCCGACCGCCGCGCCAGGGGGGTTCGAGCCAGCTTGAGCCAAGCTGGCTACGGAAGGTCCTCCTCCTCCTCCTCCTCCTCCTCCTCCTCCTCCTCCTCCTCCTCCTCACTGTCCGCGCTGTCCTCCCCGTCCTCCCTCCCCTCATCTCTTCTCTTCTCCTCTCCGCTCACCTCCACTCCTCCGTTCGTCCTCCTCCTCCTCCTCCTCCTCCTCCTCCTCCTCCTCCTCCTCCTCCTCACTGTCCGCGCTGTCCTCCCCGTCCTCCCTCCCCTCATCTCTTCTCTTCTCCTCTCCGCTCACCTCCACTCCTCCGTTCGTCCTCCTCCTCCTCCTCCTCCTCCTCCTCCTCCTCCTCCTCCTCCTCCTCCCCTTCATCTTGGTCGTCCTCCTTCTCTTTCTCTGGCCCTTCCTCTCCCTCCTCCTCCTCCTCCTCCTGCTCGTTCCTCTTATTATGCTATGCGTCCTCCTCCGCCTGCTTGTATCGCGTTCCTTCTCATCCTCCTCCTCCTGCTCCTGCTCATCTTTGTCCCCAGCGACAACCGAATAACCCAGGATATCCCGCCACGCCGTCCCCTCTGCCTTCGGGGTTCCGCGGGGTGGAGTGCGCCTCCCCGTGATTACGAGTCGCAATTGCAGGCTTCCCGAATGGAGTCCGAGTAAAAGGGGGTCAGAAGATTATGATGACCTTTTCGATGTGAGCAGCCTAGCGTATGGCCGCGCGCACCAGCACAGCTTACACCCTTCGGACCTGCGCAACCGACAGGGTCAAGTTATCGGGGGGGGGGGGCGGGCGGGACCGTGGGTCAGACCCTGAACAGCCCTGCGAAAGACCCAACCGTACGAGGGTGTGAGTGCCGTAGTCATGAGAATTGTTTTCGGTTGGGCCCTCTGACGGGGCCACGAAGCGTGTGAATGGTGTGCCGACATGGTGAGGAGAAGGCATACGAACCCAGTCACGGGGGCCTTCGGTGTAGTTCCCTATGGGGCCGTGAAGGGTAAGGGTTGCGCCGAAATCGGCGGCGGGGACGCACGCGAACCTAGCCAATGGGGTCTTGGGTGGAGCTCCCAATGCGGCCACGAAATGTGTCAGGGTTGCGCCGAAATGGTGTGGAGAAGGCATGCGAACCCAGCCACTATTGGGGCATTGGGTGGAGCTCCCAATGAGGCCACGAAGCGTGTGAGGGGCGTGCCGAAGCAGAGACTACCGAAAGCAGATGCAGCGATGGGAGGATGGGTGGGGGAGCGCAGGGGAAGGAGACGCGGGGCACTGTCTCCTCAAAACGAGGACCCGACACCACATCATGGTCGAGACAGCAGTCTTTCACCAGGCCCCTCGCAAGCCCAGCTCAGCCAATTCAGTAAAATGGGCTGCAGGCTTTTTTTTGGGGGGGTGATCCACACCCAGCTCAGTCCGTATGACCGCCTCCAAGGCCGCGAGCGGCTCCCAAACCCGGCTCAGCCAAACTCTGGCTTCGCAGGATCCTGCAGGATCTGCCGTTCTGGCTGAGCTCCGTTTGGTCTTTGCCCCGCTATGTGCGCCCCGAGCAAATACATCGCCGATGCATCGGCGACGTCGGCGACGCACGGGCGCCGTCGGCGTGGAGAAAAAACGGGCTCCACATCGAGTCGCATCGTCGTCGGCGATGCGGCGCGATCCTCCGACCACATCTGCTCGGACCCCATTCCCAAATATCACGCGGCATGAGAGCTTCACTGCGAGGCCCATGAAGTCCCAGCCCCTTCCCGGGGGGTAGTTCTTCGTCTGGGGCCCCTTTTTCATATTCCTGGGGACCGATACACGCCGGTCGTAAGAAGTATGTAAAAACGTGAAGTAAGAAGGCGTTGGAAGAAGATTGGGCTTCCACCCGCCCCCTGAAAAGGAGGAGAGAAGGAAAACCGCTCGACTCTCGAAGTAGGAAGGCGCCTAAAGCAGATTAGGATTTGGGCATCCAAAAACACTTACTTTCAACGACCGGCGTGAAACGGGCCGCGAGGGCCGAACTGACGGACAAACGTCAAGGGGCCCAAGGACACACAAATAAATACACACTAATAAAATGATTCCCCATATTTTCTGGATTTTCGTCTTCCCCCCCAGTGCCAATATTTTCCAATATTTTCTAGGGAATCGACGATTATTTGTGTCTGTGTGTGTGTTTGTTTTTTCCCCTCCTGACTTTTTCATATCCCTGGGGACCGATAACAGGCCGCGAGGGCCGAACTGACGGACAAACGCCGGGTCTGCAACAAGCCGCAACTGTCGGAGACCTGAGCCTGGGAGGGCTGGAGCAGCTTCGGGAGCAGCCAAGAGGAGGGTGTCCAAGAGGGGGGGGTGCAAGTCATGACCGGCGGCATGTGCGCGGCCCAGCGGGGGGGCCAGGGACGTACTGAAATAGGAAGAGGCGCCACGAGATCTGGGGCAATATCATGGCCCCCGCCATGAGATCCCCCCCCCTAGCCATCACCCCCCTCTTTTCCGCCCCCGACAGCTGCTCGGCACTCACGCAGAGCCCACCGCTGCAGCCTGGCGCGGTGCCGTGGCCCCAGGCCGTCCTGGCAGTGCGCGAGGAAGGAGGCGGCCTTCGGGGCCCAGAGCTCCTCCCCGCGCGCCCCTCTGGCAGGACGAACGAGGAGGGAACGAGGATTAGCGACTGCAGGAGCAGCGAGCATCGAACACAGGGGATCGGATCGGATCGGAGCGTACACATCGACTCGGACTGCATCGGCTCGGAGGCCGAATCGGATCGGATCGGCCGCGCCAGGATGCACAAGAACGCCGTGCGAGCATCGGGCCGCATGGACCACGCGAACATCGGAATCGAATCGGGCCGGCCAGAGCCGATCTCGAGTCGGATCGATCGGATCGAGGTGAACCCTGCCGTGGGGGGGTGGGGGGGAACGACAGGGGCACGAGCGAAGCATCGCGCTGCCCTGGCCCTCACACTTCTCGTGAACGGCCCCGAGCGCTGCCCTGGGCGCAAGTTGTACCAGCCTGGAACATATCCCTATCCCTATGTTGGGCATCGCCTCATCACGATGGCGATCTCAGGGATTTCCTCAGTTTCTGAGGGTGCATCCCTGAGATTGTCATCTCCCTGTAGCGTGTCAATCTTAGGGATAGGGATAAGCTCGAGGCTAGTGAAAGTTCTCCAGCACCGGTCCTCGAAAGCATGGCTTGGGCATCCGCGGGCCTGGCGCGTGGGCGCCGACCACCATGGCACGCGTGGAAGGCCCCCCCCCGCGGGGGGGGGGGCCTTCCCCGGTCCAGGACGCGCCGGGAGGCAGAACATCTGAGCTTCCGTGCCCGACGCGTCGGGCCTCGCGCCGACTCGCCATCGCTCGGACGTCCATTCCCTGTGTTTTTTTCGGTTTCGTGCGTGTTTTTTTCTCCAAATGATCAAGGATGCTCCTCGATGGTCCTCGCCGAAGGAAAAATGCACACGTCCGAGCGATGCCAAGCCGAAGGCGCGCATGCGCGGGCCTGCGTTTGCCAAACGTGCACGTTTTGAGGGCCCGCCATCACCCCTGGCAGCTCCGGCCCTCCTACCCCCCGGGCACACGATGCGGGCAAGATTCATGTCCATATCCAGTGCCTCTTGGACTTTCTCGGGAGCGGCGCCACGAGGCCGAGGCGCACTGGATATGGATAAAACTCGAGCCTCTGGGGGGCAAAGGTATCCATATCCAGTGCGCCTCGGGTTTCTTGGGCCTCGCGCCGACTCGCCATCGCTCGGACGTCCATTCCCTGTGTTTTTTTCGGTTTCGTGCGTGTTTTTTTCTCCAAATGATCAAGGATGCTCCTCGATGGTCCTCGCCGAAGGAAAAATGCACACGTCCGAGCGATGCCAAGCCGAAGGCGCGCATGCGCGGGCCTGCGTTTGCCAAACGTGCACGTTTTGAGGGCCCGCCACCCCTGGCAGCTCCGGCCCTCCTACCCCCCGGGCACACGATGCGGGCAAGATTCATGTCCATCTCCAGTGCCTCTTGGACTTTCTTGGAAGCGGCGCCACGAGGCCGAGGCGCACTGGATATGGATAAGAACTCGAGCCTCTAGGGGGCAAAGGTATCCATATCCAGTGCGCCTCGGGTTTCTTGGGCCTCGCGCCGACTCGCCATCGCTCGGACGTCCATTCCCTGTGTTTGTTTTCGGTTTCGTGCGTGTTTTTTTCTCCAAATGATCAAGGATGCTCCTCGATGGTCCTCGCCGAAGGAAAAATGCACACGTCCGAGCGATGCCAAGCCGAAGGCGCGCATGCGCGGGCCTGCGTTTGCCAAACGTGCACGTTTTGAGGGCCCGCCACCCCTGGCAGCTCCGGCCCTCCTACCCCCCGGGCACACGATGCGGGCAAGATTCATGTCCATCTCCAGTGCCTCTTGGACTTTCTTGGAAGCGGCGCCACGAGGCCGAGGCGCACTGGATATGGATAAGAACTCGAGCCTCTAGGGGGCAAAGGTATCCATATCCAGTGCGCCTCGGGTTTCTTGGGAAGGGAGCCCGAAACTCCAGACTGCAGTGGCTATGGGCAGAAGTACTGCCCGCAGCACGAGGTCGGCGCCGCCTGCCTCCCCCTCGGCGCTCCCTCGAGGTGACGCGCGGCCCCGGGGCGCAGCGCCGCCGCAGGGGCCCGTGCGGGAGCGGCCCCCCTGCAGGGCCGCCTCCCGCCTCCAGGGCCTCCCCACCACCCGGGAACCCTCGAGCTGGACTCGGCGATGCGCCGCCGATGGCTCGGCGATGGCCCAGGGGCGGGTGCTGCCAGAGGTGCCCCTGGCCCAAGGTGCCCCCTTCGATTTCCAAGGAGGGCCAAGGGTCTCCAGAGCACCCCTCACGGGGCCCAGAAGGCCCCCCAGGCGCTCCAGAATTGAGCGAAAAGCTTGGGGCACACTGGGCCAGAGACACCTTTGGCAGCCCCCGACACATGGGAAGGCAGAGGGGGCCGGCATTCTCAGAAAACGACGGAGCTCCTCGGTAACGGCTTCTCGATAACGACACGTGCACCATCATACGTGATTGAAAAGCTCAATATTGAAATGCTTCCAAATACAGTCGTGTTGGAAGGACTTCGACACGCGCGCGTAGTGGCACGCGGATGTGGTGGGCGCATGCTAAATCAATGCGGATGCACCGCGTGATGAAATAAGAATGCTGGTTCTGGACGACATTGCTGGCACCACATGGTTGCCCGATGGTTTCAGCAACTGCGCGTGGGCATAATACCTTTAAACAAGACATTGTGAAAGTTGTGAGCGAATGTGTTAGGTATGATTTCGACATGTGTGGGCGCGTGCGGACTTCGTGACATTATTTTGCAGAGGGTCTTGAACTAAGTAATACTTTGAGATGCGCGAGCGTGCGCGCATGACAATATTTAATAACGAGGGAGGGTGGCACCGGACCGTCTGGAATGGTATGGCTCCACACGGGACAGAAACACACGAGGGAGAATCGCACGTCAATGGAATGACCCCGGGGGGACAAGGCTCGGGAGGGCGGTAGAGTTCACCCGTCTGCAGCTGGGAGAGCCCCCGCGGTACAGGCCATCGGAGCGCCCACGAGGCGGGCACCACGAGGGAACCTCGGCTTAACTCGGGCCTGTCCCCCTACAGGCGGATTTTCGACGAAGAATAAATTACCCCAGTGCGACTCTACCCAGCAGTTGGAGCCCCTAGGAAAGCAGCATTAGTTGCTATGCTATGCTATGCTATGTTCTGCCATGCTATTATGCTATGCTATGCTGCGCTATGCTATGCTATGCTATGCTAAGCTATGCTATGTCATGTTGCGCAGTGCTATGCTGAGCTATGTTATGATGTGCTATGATAAGCTGCACTAACTTGCGCTATGCTATGCTATGCTATGCTATGCTATACTATGCTATGCCATGCTATGCTGCGCTATGCTATGGTATGCTATGCTATGATTGGCCATGTTATGCTATGCTATGCTATGCTAATGCAGCGCTGCGCTCTGCTAAGCTAAGCTCAACTAACCCTCTAGGCAGAGCCTAGGTAGGGAATTACACTGTGCTATGCTGCGCTATGCTATGCTATGCTGTGCTCTGCTATGCCAAAACTCAGCGAACCTAAGATGAATGTAAGCTAAGCTAAGACAAACCTGAACTAAGATGAAGCTAAGCTAAGCTAAGATGAAATACGCTATGCTAAGATGAGATAAGCAACGCTAAGCTAAGGGAACGTCACTGGGGGAACCGCGGGGCGGATGCCGCGGAAACCGCCCGGGGCGTGGCCCACTGCCCGGCCCTTTAAGCATAGCGAGTAAGAACCCTTCTAGGCAGAGCCTAGGTAGGGAAAAATACACAAAAAATAATCAAACAATAGTCCAAACATGGTCGGGGGACTATGTTTTGGGTATTTTGGGTTCTTTTTGGAAGTATGTTTGGGGTATCTTTAATTTTTCATCGAAAATCCCCTCTGTAGGGGGACAGGCCCGACTTAGACCTCGGCGCGCCCCTCCCGCGCGGGGGGGCCGCCCACGCGGCGCCCACGGGGCGGGCACCCCGCGCGGGGCGCCTCGGCGCGCGCCCCTCCCCGCGCGGGGCGCGCGCCCACGCGGCGCCCACGAGGGGCGGGCACCGCGGAGGCCCACGAGGCGGGCGCCGCGGGGGACACCTCGGCGGGCGCCCTCCCGGCGCGGGGGGGCGCGTGCCCACGCGGCGCCCGCGAGGGCGGGCACCCCGCGCGAGGCACCTCGGCACGCGCCCGTCCCCGCGCGGGGCGCGCACGAGGCGCCCACCGAGGCGCCCACGAGCGGGCGCCAGCCGAAAGCCAAGACTCGGGAGCAACCCACATTTTCCCCAAATTCCCATATTCTCCCATATTTCCCATATTTCCTGGGAGTCGACGATTAATTGTGTCTGTGTGTTTCTTTCCCTCCTGAAAACGCCGGGTCTGCAAAAGCCGCACTGTCGGAGATCTGAGCCTGGGAGCACTGGAGCAGCTGCGGGAGCAGCCAAGAGGGGGTGTCCAAGAGAGGGGGGGTGCAAGTCATGACCGGCGGCATGTGCACGGCCCAGCGGGGGGGCCAGGGACGCAAAGAAATAGGAAGAGGCGCCATGAAATCTGGGGAACTATCATGGCCCACGCCATGGTATCCACCCCCCCCTGGTCATCACCCCCCTCTTTCCCCCCCCCGAAAGAATGCCCCACCAATTCCGCAAGCACGCAAAACCGGAGCCCCCAAGTCCAAACACTCTTTCGGGAACGAGCAAACAACAAGCAACACAAGAAACAAACAGCAAACAACACACACACACAACATACAGCAAGCAACACACAACAACGATAATCCTCATCGCGGAAGCCCACTTCAGGCTTCGGGCACCGACACAGGGGTGTAAGATCGCTCGGACCCCTCACTCTGATCTAGCGGCCCTCCTTCCTTCAGCCCGTGCGGACGAGCACGACATCTCGGATGTCTTGAAGCGAACCGTTCTCATGACGTCTTGCTCCTCTGATCCTGGCCCACGGCCCTCCTCGCCGTGGGCCGCCCACGACCTCTGGCGAGCGAGAGCTCCAGAAGCGAGCAGACAGAAACTGAGGGCACGAAGCGCGGCGCGCCCTCCAAAGACAACCAGATGTCTGAGGCCACCGTGCCTCAGACATCTGGATCCTCGGGCCTCGAAGCTCGTCGCCCCCAAAAAACAACCACACAACAGTGCTCACGACAACGCAACGGATGATAAGACCAGCGGAATCGAAGCAGAGGAGTCGGTGAGCAATCTTACCGCTGGACCGCTCTCGCCTGTTCATCGCAGGTGAGACGAAGAAGCTGGCGTGGAGGGGGATTTGACGGGGAGGAAGAGGAGAACAACAAATACACACTAATAACAATACGAATAATCATCATACTAGAAGTGTAGCAATAACGAAAAAAAATGGGCGAAAGAAATCCCACCAGCCCTTTAGGGCGTGAGTGGTTCAGCGAGCCCCCTCTGTCCTCAACCCCCCTTCTTCCCCTTCGGGGAGGGGTTTACCCCTCCCCCTACCCCCTCCCCCTGGGCCTGGAGAGGGAGTCCCGCGGGTGGTCAGGGGAGTCTTTTTCGACTCCTGGGAGGGCTAAAAACGACGACCTTCACGAGGATTCTGCTCCCGACGGGGGGACCCTCTTGTAGTACCCCCCTCTTCGTCGACGCCAGAAACATTGATTTTACTATGGTTTTGGCCCCATTTTAGCCTTCTCAGGGGGTCGCGCTCCTCGTCCTTCAATAGCAAAATCATTGATTTTACGAAGGTGTTGGGCTCATTTTGTCCTTCTCAGGGGGGGCAGCTCTCATTTGCGCTTCTGAGGAGGTCGCAAGAGGCCCCAAGATGGCCCCAAAAGGCCCCCAGGAGGCTCCCAAGAGGCCTCCAAGAGGCCCCCCAGAGGCCCCCAAGCGGCCCCAAGAGGCCCCCAAGAGGCCCCCAAGAGGCCCCCAAGAGGCCCCACGAGGCCCCAAGAGGCCCCCAAGAGGCCCCCAAGAGGCCCCCAAGAGGCCCCACGAGGCTCCAAGAGGCCCCCAAGAGGCCCCCAAGAGGCCCCAAGAGGCCCCAAGAGGTCCCCAAGAGGCCCCCAAGAGGCCCCCAAGAGGCCCCAAGAGGCCCCAAGAGGCCCCCAAGAGGCCCCACGAGGAGCCCCAACGACTCACACCAGGACGAGGGGCCCGAACGACTCACACCACGAAGAGCCCGAACGACGCACACCAGGAGGAGGGGCCCGAACGACTCACAGCAGGACGAGGCGCCCGAACAACTCACACCACGAAAAAGCCCGAACGACTCAAACCACGAGGAGCGCTTTCTCTCCCTCCTCCTCCGCCTCGTCCCTCTCCCGCTCCCACCACAAGGAGGGTGTACAAGGAGGCGGGGGGAAGGAGGAACAGGGGAGATATGCGGGGGCAGGCGGAAACACGCCT